GGAACATCGGAGTCGACCGGACACAGGGGTCGGACTCCCGCCGGATGGATCATCCGTTTGACCGTTGACCACGACCTGCCATTCCAGCCGAGGCTACCCTAGCCGAGGCAACTCTTTAGGCCCGGTAACCACCCTCTCCAAGTTACTCAATAGGTGACAGGAGATAGATTTGGGATTTCTGACCGGACAGGACCCCCAGCATATTGCGTAACCACGATCTGCCAGTACATCCGAGGGTACATCGGGACTTTAACTCGAGTACCAAGGCCGACATCGGACTTCAACCCCTCAAGCCCGGCAACTATCCTCTCCGAGTTACCCAATAGGTGACAGGAAATGGACTTAGGCCTCGTCCCGAATTCAAAGCGAATCTCGCTGCGATACAGCAACTCCACCTCGCTGCGATCCGGTTAATTGAACTGGTACCATCGGGTACCCCGAGAACCGATGCCTCGGACCCGGGCGACCGGACATCCAATGGACTGGAGCCCCCGTGAGCGGACGTGCTCTAGTCGGAATAAGCACCCGGACCAAAGCCCCGGACCAAAGACTCTGAGTTTACTTTTTTTATTCACGAAATGATGTTCTCATTTTATTGATCTTTTCTAACCTGCTCACGAGGAATTTTGATGTTATTTTTACTAGAGAGACAGAGATGGAATAATACTTTAGTTTTTTACTTTCTCGCCGTTACGGATACTGCCAACAGATGCCTACACCGGTCCAACAACACAACCGACCGACCTTCGGATTTCGGCCGTGAGTTGTATCTCCACCACGGGTCCGGAGGAGAACGCGGCACCGAGAGACCTTCATCATCGGATACCCCGAGGCGCAGCCACCGACCCAATAGGGTCGTGTGCGGAGCGGGCATTGGCGCGGTACGAGGCCGGTCCTTCGCAGGGGCTCGGACTCCCGCCCAGAGGCATGTTGGGCCAGTCGCCATGGCAGCCTACGAGTTAGCAGCCAGCGACAGTCCCGCTTCCGGTGTGCTGACTGACACCGAGTCGCACTCGCTGTCGAACGCCGTATCGGCCTCGACTCAGGCAGCTCTACGCCCAGCCTTACGTTTCGGCCAATCATCGGCCTCGATGTAGGCGGAGCCACGCCCCAGCTTTACATCTCGGCCAATCAGCGTTCGTTCGCTCGTGTTGGATCTGCCCAGTATGCCGCATAGGCTTTTCCCATGTTACGGCTCGATGTGCCGTTCATTAGCATTCACTAGCGCATCATCCAATGTACTTTCATGCCGCCGCTCACATCGAGCCTGCGTATGCTTTGTGTTTCGGTTCTTCACTTTATTGCTATCTCACAAAAAAGCCTTGTTCCCCACTACTCGTGAGCCTCTGCTTGCCTGCTGTCACAGGACTAATTACTGTGAAAAATAAACGCGCTACTCCAAAATTAACGTGTTTTCGAAAAAATGAAGCGTAAAATAATCTTTTTTCACTGGCAAATGTAATGACAAAAGAACAATTAACTCGCTCTTTGTTTATACCTGACTGACAAATGACTACTCTAAGTTATCCATAAGTTCACAATTTCTACCGATAAGATCATTTTTGTGTGAACATTTGAGTGTTTCCGGCCCATTGACTGGAAAGAACCTTAGACATTAAAAATGTGAAACTTTTATTCCGGAAACGTTCCGTTTTTTTGTGATGTTTTGTTTTCCTGATTATCCACCAAGCAAATTCCGTTCCGGTTTATCCTCAAAATTATGTCTGCCCGGCGTGCCCGCTGATAGCAATCAATTGATTCGGAATCGCCAATGCCCTCCACTTCCTGATTACAGTACTTTCCAGTTAATAGTCGTTATGTGACTACTGTCTGCATCATAATTTTTTTCAGTGCGTAAATGTTGCTTTGCTAGTCTATACGCCGTGTAGACTATCAAAGCATCATTTACAGTGTACGCAGCATTAAAATCATTTAAAATTTTATTGCAATTGTTGTGACATAGTTCTCCAAGGCCTGCCCGTACCTAAAGTTCCAACCCCCTTTGTCTGTTATTTTTGAAGATATAAAATGATTATGCATTGTAATCAAGCACCATGCGATACATAACAAATTTAAACGTACAATGTTGCTTTTAAGAAAACAAAAGTTCCATATCAAAGTTTCGAAAAATATGCTCCCAGAAAGGGTCAGATGAGATTCGGCAACACAGACAACCGCACCCCCCCGTGGCAGCACTGTAAATTAAAAACTGATCAAACCTTTACGGCAGGCAGCTACTTTATCTGCAGATCTTGCAGGTCCCCACTTTTGAAAATCTTCTTTCAACCCTTTCATTTCATTTCTCGAAACTGACTTTTGATGAAAAACTAATAAGCTCAAAAGCTACCGAATGACATGTGTTAAGGTTTGAATTTAACTCTGTGTAGCGCTTCAGTGGAATTGTAGAACTGCGTTTCTGGCTTTCTCACTATGCGGGAGACAGTGGTGACGTGGTTGGTTATGCAATGGTGATTTCTTAACTTTTCCCATAGACTTCGTATGTTAACCTTTTTCGAAATTTTCTTTTTAGTCTTGAAAAGTTTGATAAAACTAACCCGTTTCTGCAAATCTACGATCTAAGCGCTATTGAATGATCCATAGACATCAAAGTTTAGTTCAGTGTATCGTTTGCAAAATGGAATGGAATTTACGAATGGAATTTAGCTAAGGCTTACGCTATTAATATATAGAGAAGGTAATTCCTTGTACTATCATTGTTTTAGTAAGTACAGTATATAATATATCTGTTATATCATTACTATATATACATATTTAATATTTACCCGCCTACAGATATAGGGGGAAAAATGTGTCTAGCCGAACCAATCCCTTGTACTTCTGATGTAAGCCAGCTGGTGGTTTACGTTGTGGCTGCACAGCGTTTTATGTAAAGCGCTGCTATTAGTCCTTTGCGGCATTGACGGTACATGTGGTTTTAGCTGCACCGGGCTATAATACAGTTTTAGCCTGCTTACCTGCAGTTGTACGAGTGCTGCTTACCTGTTATCAGTACCTGTAATCTTAATAGCAGCGCTTTACATAAAACACTGTGCAGCCACAACGTAAACCACCAGCTGGCTTACATCAGAAGTACAAGGGATTGGTTCGGCTAGACACATTTTCCCCCCTATATATGCTGTATATACCTGATTCATAAAACTGTCGGCCAAATTATCTGTAGACCTTTTATGTTTTGCGTAGGAACAATATGGATATGTCCTTGCCGCTGCGCAGAATATTATTTTCAAAGCGACCGGCAGCGAAAGCAAGTGTGGACGTTTAACACATGCGGAATTTCTGTTGCGGTTTATTGGTAAATCACGATGTGCATATAGGGGGCAAAAGTAAACGTGTTCCACCGTTCCCCTGTACTGCTGCCGTCACCCGACTGGAGTTTGACGTTGTTGCTGAACATGGCGCTTACGTACCGCGCCAGATTTAACCATATGTATTGCCGTAACGTCACACTCCAGGCGGGTGACGGCAGCAGCACAGGGGAACGGTGGAACGCGTTTACTTTCGCCCCTTATATAGTAGTTGCGCTGACTGTTAATGTGTTTGTTTTTAGCAAATTTTAATTAATGTTACTGTCTTTTTCGATGTTGGTAGTATGCTGACTGCTGCGCCCCATTGGCGATGTTAAATTTTGTTTTCCAAACCTGTGTATAGGTGGTAATGTAGCTAATGTTCTTTAATCATAAATGTTGCTTGAGTATGTACAATAGTATCAAAGAAAAATTGAAATTAAGTCAGACAGGATTGTGGTGGTACTGTACTGGTAACTGCAAGTCATGTCCGCTGAATCACTTCTTCGAACTGCCACACCAGCAGTTGCGTTATTAAACCCGCAAACAAAATAACACGTACAATTAAATACGATCTAATTGGCGATAACACATTCCTGCGTAATAGTTTCTATTGATTCTTGAAAGGTTCCCAGGAAAATGATAACAGTACCATCAGCCTGACCAGTCTATGTGGAATTTAGCTACAAGAGAGAACTTTTCATTCTCGTCTTGATTTCACGGCAGTCTGCGGCGGCAAACCGAGCTCATATAAATAGCGAAAAATTTCCCAGGCTTTTGTGAGCAGACTCATACCGCTCTCTACAAAGGTCACCGCAGAGTATGGTAATAACATGCCGATAAATTTTGTTTCCTTTGTCCATGGAAATTATACCAATGCGGCAGCGATAACGCCGGCATTAGGAGCGTGGAGCAAACAGAACGTATTGCGCACGTTATAACTGCACTCACGTGACTTTCTGAACTTTGTAATTATTTTGTTGTTCTAGTCATACTGGTTAATCATAAGCTTGTTACCATGGACGCGATAAGAATTACACAGTTATTAATTAACACAAGTTTACCCAAGAAAACAAATGAAAGTATACGAAAATATCTGTACTCGTATTTTATTAATACTTAAGTAATAAATATGAAATGAACTTCAAAGTGTGGTTTTGCAATTATAATAGTCGAGCAGCCGAAATTCAGACGTAGATATTAGGCTGGCAGATGAAAACCGCGCACGTTCGCCTCATACAAAAATTTTAATGTGAAGTAAGTTGATATTTATTACTTATACAGCGACTGAAACAGTACAACATGTCAGTAGGGCGCTGTAGAGCGCCATACAGTCCAGAAGATGCGCAGAGTCAAAACGCGGACTTACATCGAGCATCTGCGACTTACATCGAAACGAGAAATAGGCGTACCAAGTCCCAATTGGCTGGGCTTCGATGTAAGTCGATTTTTTCTCGATGTCTGTCGGTGGGCGTGGACGAAAACCGTTACGAAGATGGACGTACCTTGTAACGGGTCTAAGCGACGCCCAGTTACTTACAAACTTCGCGTTTCCGCGATTCTGATTGGTGGGTCAGCATTCTGAGTTAGATCGAGGCTGCCCACCGCCAATAGCAAAATTCAAAACCACGCGATCGTTTCTCTATACTCTGAGCTTACGGCGACGGTTAAACGATAAAATCATAGGGTTTTATATCTTCTTTTGAGTTTTCGGTTCTTGCCTTGTTTGTTTTTTGAAATTTGAAGTGTAAAAACTGATAATCTTTTTGGCATTACTGCTTTACTGGTGTATCTATAGTGCAGGGATGCTGCATTCTGGGAATCCAGATTAGACTGCGCAATATTAGTGTTTGGCCAGGTGCGCCCCCGTTTACTGATTACTTGTTGCCTGATTATTGCTCAGATTACTTTTGATCTCATTGATTAGCATATTACAAATTGATTCCGACTTGCCAAAAAGTTCACAGATCCTTGTGGCTGTCTTTAACAATTTGGGGTATACTCGTCATGTATTACGGCCGTCGTATCGCAGGGAACCCTGCGCGCTGGCTACCCAGCTGCTGGTGCTGTTTACAGTACACCCAGTTCTGTGCTTAATTTTTAACCTGATTTAATGCCCCACTACGATTAATACTGCTGGGCAGCCTTCCATGGTAAGTCAGAATTTGATTTATAATATCATGTTAGTTTGACATAATTTGTTGGTCGCATACACTTATTTCCATTTTTCGTCTGTATTTTATGAAAAAAATTGTATACTTGCTTAACCATGTGAAAGGTTCCCGCTTTGATCTGGCTACTCAGAAGAACTATTAAATATTAACCGCAGCCTTTTTATTTATTTCTCTAAAAACAATAATGCATAGCAATTCCCAAGCGCACCTTGTTTTGATGCTTTTCAACAGGTTGTATGGCATTTAACTTATTGTAATATTCAGAAAAGTTGAAATACAATGTAGAAGCATAATGTCTGCACGCATACTGTCAGTCTGTAGCCTATTTCAGATTGCATATGGTAGAGGCTCCGTACATAGAATCGCACGGCGTCAGATAAGCAGTACGTTGGCAGAATGAGAACTGCTTCAGATCTTTGTGCGGTTACACTTTGGTCACGTACAGCAACGAAAAAATCGAGTCGAGTGCGCGCGAGGACGTGACCACCCTGCTAACGGTCGGCGGTCTGAGTGCTAAAAAAAGATCCACGGGCAGCATACGCTGGCCTGCCATTCACTCATGTGTCTGAGCCGTTGCAAGCATCCGCGTAAGGCAGATAGTTTTTACGCGTCACCGCACGACGCTAGGTTACAGCTGCTAACGTCGCGAACGGACGTAAAACAATCCGGAACCGAAGGTTCCACATGGAACCGGAGCCGATACTAACACAAACCGTGCAATCTGAAATAGGCTTGTATGTCATGGCAGTTGTGCGCATGCGGTCGAGTTTAGCCCGTACATACTCACATGCAAGACGTATAAACGGGCGCGGTTTTGCGTTCGATGTCTGTATGTCAAGGGTAAAAAACGTTGTAAGTAAGTCCGCGTTTTGACTCTGCGCATCCTTTCTAGTAATACATTGAAAAACTGACAATGCACAATGTACAACCAACAACGTATGCAGTATGTTCAAATCAACAAAAACACATTTTCAAAAACAGATTTTTGTAATTATTTTTTATGCATTTGAAAACAAATTGTTAATAAAAGTGCAACACCGACAGCAGTAAAATGAATGAACAGAATGAAAAATAAAATAAATGCCTATTTACCAAATGCCATTCGGTCCTGCCATGGTACTTTGCTAGCGGTGTTAAAGTACTGTTTCAACACTGTGCGCACATCGCTTCTCACATGTCGGTACGGCTTCCGGTCATGGACGAAGTTCTGCACTTCTGCGCCAGTCTCCAGGAGTGATTGTCCCGTCCGCATTTTCCGAATCCGCATATCCCGGCGGCAAGTAGGCATCGTTTCGACCCTGCGCCAAGACTTCCGTCCGGAGAAAATTATGCAGCGCAACGCAAGCTTGAACAATACAGTTAACCATTTCCGGCGAATATTCCATTACCGTGCGAAAAATTCGCCAGCGTGCTGCCATAATGTCGAAAGCATTTTGAACTACGCGCCAGCGCGCCTAGCTCACGCGATAGTTAAAAATTCGTTCGTCCGACTCGATATTGTTTCCTCCGTAAGGTTTGATAAGGTTGTGTCCAAGAGGAAAAGCATCATCGGCAACAAATACATACGGCGATCCAGCTTGTGAACCGGGAAGTTTGCGCTCATCTGGCAAATCCATTGTTCTATTAATGATTGCTTGACCGACCTCCCAATCAGCAAATTATGTACCGCCATCACTTTGTCGACCATAACCTCCAGCAGTAATTGCAGTAAGCCGATAATTTGCATCCGAAATTGACATCGAATGATCGCGAAAGACTTTTTATAACTATAAAAATTACTGCCGGAATTAGCTGGGGCTTTCACAATTACATGTTTACCATCGATAGCACCGACGCAGTTGAGAAATTGCCACATTCTTTCAAAGCCGTCTGCATTTCGTTTCCAGGTTTGCTTTGTTGGTGCTGGCACGTACTCGTCTTTAAGAGTTTCCCAAATGGCTTTGATGGTTTCTGTGAAAATGGCATTTACTGTGCTTTCGCCCATGCGATACCTGGTAGCGATGTTAATCTGGCTGCATCCGGTGGCCAACATGTGTAGCGTCATAGACAGTCTTTCGGCTGGAGGTATCTCGACCGCATGATTATTCCCGTTCAACAGTTTGGGCGTTCTCATGACCAACAATCGATCGAAAGTAGCGCTGGACATCCGAAAATATTTGAAATGCCGCTGTGGATCGTACTGGCGCAATTCACTCACAAGTGCATAAAATTCTCCCCCTTTTTTTACGATTGCGGCTGGTATATCGCATGTAGCACGACCGCTCAACAATAACTTGCTGGAATTAGTTTGTAATAACCCGAGAAGTAAGCACAAAGCCACAAGAGCTGACCTCTTGCGCTTACTCATAAAACACGGGCGCTTTAACCGGCTACGGTTTTTAGCAGAACAGCAGCACTCCCGGACTGCCCTTCTTTATTTTTTTAAAGTACGCACTTCTTCCAGAATTCCGGAGGGACGCATGTTTCGGTGCCACCCTATCTAAATTCGACACTGTGACAGTGGGGGGATCAACAAAAAGACTGTATAATCTGAATGAAGTAGCACCACGGAGTCTGGCGAAGGAAAAAAAGCAAGCCTTTTATCGGAGGCATTTTATGATGCTGTACCGATAAAACGACTAAATGCTTGAAGTCAAAAAGTAAATTTGTGAAGCGTAGTGTTGCAGTGTTGATCTTTTCATTAGCGAATTTGGGCAAGCGTCAGCAATGGCAGTAGCATTAGCAATAGCAGTCCTCACGGCTATGGTCAAACGCACTGCAGCCCGGTTACTTGGCTGCCCAACTCCAGTGCTGGAAAATGCAATAGCAATAGCAGTATCGTGCATTGCAACTATTGCATAAATTATAATATTGAAAACTGCCCAGCGTCTACTTTGGCAGTGAAGTCAAAACAACAAATTGCGCATAAAATTTATACTTTTCAAACTTGTGGACTTGAAAATACGCTTCAGTATTAGTAGTGTTTTACTCTTCATCTGAGCCTTCTGATTCCGTAATTTTGTATCCTCTCATTCCTCTGCACCATGCCAAATGCCCGCCAAATTGGAGACCTTCCTCAAGCCCGTCGCATCTTCCACGCCAAACAAGATCTCTTACTACTGGACGAAGTTAACAACGAAAATCCCTTTTTTGCTGAAAACGAAGGAGCGGTGTGGGTTGAGATCGTGGAAACGCTGAACAAAGTGCCCGTAAGTGACGAATACAGTAGACGAATGCGAGTACTATGTAGATGACTGTGTTGTACTTACAGTACTGTATGTTTTTCAGAGCTAAATATTTTTTGACTATTTCATTCTTTATTAGGCAGTAATAAGCATTTACGATTTCGCGCATGTATAATTCGAGTTGCAATTGTGCGTACAAATTGCTGCTATTGTTTGCGTTTTCAGATTTTTCCAAGTCCCTTGGATGTTCGCGCATGTAAGAAGCGTTTGGATTTGTTGGTTATTGAATTTCGGAAAGAAAATTGGCGGCAAGTTGTTAAATCCGGTTCGGAAGAAGAATACGGGACCATTCAAGAACTGTTGACAAAAATAGTTCAGGCCATCGACAGTGCACAAGAGAAAACCCGCGAAAAGGCACAGAAGAAAGCAGAAGAGAAAAAGCGGAAAGAAGCTGCGCTAAAAATGGTGGACGCAGAAATCGCCAAAGAAAGTGACTCCACGTTTGCGGGCAACGGTAACAGCGACAGAGCATTGCCTACGGATGAAGAACTAGTAAAAATTGGCGCCATGGATCCCTCCGAGCTGGCACGACACTCAGGTAATTTCTTCGCAGAAAATGGCATAATGTTATATGGTACGTAAAATCACAATTAATAGCAAACTTCATCGGTGTCCGCCATATTTTATTTTAATTTAATAAATCAAAATCTGGAAATATGTGTACGGAATACGTTACCAACTTTTGTAGATGACGGCTGGGAAAGCGACAGCGAAGGAGGAAAACGAGCGGCGACAAAAAAACTGAAGCGAGGGCGAATTGATGAGTCGGACAGTTTGGTGCAGTATTTGAAAGCCAGCGATGTGGAGAAGCAGAAGATCCGTGAAATAGAGTTGAAAAATGAACGAGATCTGAAGGAACTTGAACTGCTGAATCAAAAAGAGCTGAAGGAAAAGGAAATCGATAACAACTTTAAGTTACGTCAACAGGAACTTGAATTGGAGCGATATCGTATTGAACTGGAGGGAAACGATGGGATGCGGATAAAGAGGCGAAATTGGCTGAGAGTAAAAAATTTGATTTAATTCTTCTTTCGCTGCAAAAATCACTTGAAAAGTAGTCTACGCAATAATTGGTATTTGGCACGGTGAAATTTTGTTTTTGGTGATTTTTTGCTTTTCTCGTTACAATTACAGAATTTTGTACATAATTCGTGTTTTAGCATTCTGTTAAAAATGTCGAGTTTTTATCCGATTTTTTTTTAAATTCAAGTTTGCAAATACCCTTCGAGTACAGTACAGGCGGGGATACGCCGAAATAATTACTAGTTTGGTTCGGGTACAAACAATTACGACAGTTTGCTAACACAACTCCAACGCGGTAAAACAAGCCCACAGGCACATGTAATAACTTCATTTGTTTTTTGAAGTCTAAAAAAGCCCACAAACTGCCCACATCTTTGAAATTCCATTCTACGGATTGTCGAACTTGAGACGTGAAGTAATTGTCGTCTTCTTTCTGCACGTCCAGGAGACACTTGGCTCTGGAATGTGGGGTAATTAGCAGATCCTTCTTTCCACACCCGCTGTCTCCGTACAGCACAAATTTTTCGTCAAAATTTGCAAAATGAGTCCGGAGACTTTCAAGCAGGCCGCTTTCGTTCAACATCCTCGCGTCATGCATGGTGCCTCTCACTCCCCCGAACAAGTTGCAGATCAGTCCTGTTCAAATGGAAACAATATTTATGTGCGGTTTTGTTAAGTGCAGTACTTACTACAGTAATACAATAATTTTCTAGAATAATCCAAAAACAGAAAACTTTCACACTAAATATCTTTTATTAATTTTTAAGAATAATTTTGAATTCAAGTTTTTTTACCGTTCGGTGATACCACCGACTGCCATTTCAGACAATGAAAGCGCTTATGACCACTGAAGCAGTCCCGTTGCAATTGTTTTGGTCGACATACTGGCCGTGCAGTCCCATCAATAAATCCAAAACAATTCTTAACCGTTCATCCTTTTTTCTCAATTGCCGCGGCGTACGTTGTGAGGCTTCCTTCATTCAACCAGGGACAATCCAACATACGTAATAACTGGCTGAAATTTTGGTCAATATGGCGCAAAACGAGATAAAATATTCGGGACAAGCTCGCCGGAGAACGGCAGAATATTCGTCGCAAATCCCACCACCGACCTGGGTACGCCAGTCGACGCAAATTGATACACAAAGCCTCCAGTCCCCCAACAGACTCACGCCGTTTTGTGACTGATTTGTCCGGGATTTTTAGTGCCGCCCTCAATCGCTCTAGATCGATTTTGCGGAACCGAAAAAAGTACCAGCACTCCCTATTTGTTAAATGATGGAAGTTAAATCGCTTACGGAACCGCAGTCCGTCCTGGTATTTAGAACGATAAAGAGCTTTTTGCTGAAGGCGATGATTAAGGTAGAGTAGAGCACATTTGCGATTAGATAAGCGTCCCAAATGATGAAGTAAAATCAATCCTTCAAAAAATTTCCCCATTTTAGCATAAACTGTAGTTAATACAATGCCTAAAAATAAGTAAGTACTGTGTACTCACACGAAGAGTCGAGACGTAGAGTTTGCAATTTTATTTTTACCGTGTCAGACCGGAAGCGAGGCAGGAAGTGATTTGTACAGAGTAGTGACTTGATGCGCTGTGAATGGTGGTTCACTTGATCACCAGGTGGTTTACTTTGAAATCATTTTAAAAATACAAAATAATCAAGTAACACATTCGTATACAATCCAAAAAAAACCTCCACTGTTTTCTGAACATTTCTGGTTTAGTCTCCCCGTAGGTAGCTGTTCCCTTCTGCGAAGGCAGATGGAAAAAGAGGATGACCGTATCTTGTTTTTTCTATGGTCAATGCCAGCTCTGCAGTGACCGTGCCGTAGCTTTGAAACCGTAGCTGATGACGATTCGGACCGTCATTCGGTCCAAGACCAAAGGATACGGCTATTGCTATTGCTACGGTCGAAGCGTGCCCAAATTGTCTATTATGTGGCAATATGCAATGTACAGAGTCTACAGACAGTATGTGTACGTGACTCTCATGTAAGCAAATATTATATAAGCGCACAGACAACAGGATGGCGCGTTTTATGCTGACCATTCCTGTTAAAAGGGCGTCACTAATTTTGCCGAAATACAGACAACTGTGAGGAGTACGAGGACAATTGGGTGCTGTAAACACCCCCTTCACGATTGGGCTGCGATGAACAGCCGGTTAGCCGTAGCTCGCAACGCTACTGTCGTCACAGTCTAAATGCAAACGGCTAAAATTTAGCCGGCTGTTCATCGCAGCTCAATCGTGAAGGGGGTGTTCACAGCACCCAGTTGTCCTCGTACACATTTCGCACACCACGACGGGACGGTCAGTCGGAGTGACCGCGTCGTCGGAATTCCGTGACCACGGAAACTCCGTCGACGCCGACCCTCGGAAAACTTTTTCTCCGTCTCAGAAAAAGGCTGACTATCAGAATATTAGTGAGATTCGTTATCGTTTTCTAAGCTTCCTCTCGTGGTGAAACTGGATACTGCTTTCGTCTGATTAATTTTTCTTCGTTGAATATCAACAGAGCCACTGCAGAAAATTGCGTTTTTAACGCTGGATGGTCAACCGTTAAAATTTTGCTTCCATTTCCGCATTTTGAAGTTGTCGTTCGCGCCTTTTCCCAGCAGATACTGCGGCGAAACACAGATGTCGCAATGGATGAACTATCACTTCTACGAATCGGTGCCGATAGTGACGCTCGGTACACAGGTAGACGTAGAAATTCAGCGAATATCCCGTATACGCTGTTACAAGGAAAATTGGTGCCATGAAATCCTGTATTTCCGAATTATAGACTGTTACAAAAGTCAGGCCATACGGCAGCACACTGGTACACAAATCGAAAAACTTTGGAGTGCGCGTGATGAGATACAGGAGTGCGCTGCTCAACAAGATGATGTTGGTTGCGTGTTGCGAGAGAGCTTTGTTGACGGGAGCTGCCGCGGTTGCCTCGATATTAGTTTTCTGCAAGCGGCGCAATTTACCGAAATGGGATTGCCGTTCACGGGACAGGAAGATAATCAACAGTACATTTGGAATTAGGATCAGCACAAATGTCAGAATACGCACCGTTATCTGCAAATATGGTAAGAATCTGGTATGATACAACGATCGTTATAAGAACGAGATACGATGAAACTCATGAGAATGAGGGAATGCAGCATTCCAACACTTCGAAAGTGAGAAACGCTTAAAAAGAGCGTTTCAAGAAAGCCTTTCAAGGTTTAGCTATTATTTTTCTAAGAATTTCTTGCAACCAGACGGTGCGTTAGTTTCGCATGAGGGCTGACAACCTACTTAAATTACTGAAATATTTAACTGGTCGGTTGACAGTCGCACTGCATTTGCTCTTTCTCGAATTCCATTCAACCAGAATATGTTCACTAATTTTTTTTTAAATTTCCAGCGATTTTTTAGGAAAAATTGTCCGTCAGCTTCGCGCAAAATTTAACCTTTCAGATTTTAAGGTGATAAGTAACACTTGCTTTTTACGCGTAATTCTGCCAACCCATACCGGTACCAAAAATGGTAAACAGTTAGCCCTACCTTTCCCTTGGAAAACTGAATTTGCTCATGAAAATTTTGAAGAGTTTGCTCTGATTGATGTACAAGCTTGTCCGGTTATTTCTGCCGGTTCAAAACAGCGAGATACACAAATTTGCGAGTTACGCCAAACGTAGTGTAGTGGTAATATGTGCTATCTGTACCTTTACGACAGAAATTACCGGACATGCTTGTAATCTGCAAGCAATGGCTTCAGTGGACAAGCACTGCATAGGTATACAGTACAATACATGCACAGGGTACGTCGGTATTTCACGATAGCAGTAAATTACGATATCAGTGGAAAGTAAAAAGGTTTCAACTGTCCAGTATTTCTAAACTATTGAACATGATTATACTGTCTCTCAGCAAGCAGTGCAGATTTTCCGAAAAAAGCAAAACGTTTGCTCCGGTTCCTAGCAGGCTAGCACTTAATCTTATTGCACTGACCATGAAACATAATTTAAAAGATGGTAAGAACCAAGGCGTATCTGACAAAAATGGCAAAAAAATGGGTCGGCCTACTTTACCTTTGCCGCCCCTTGGCATTTTTCCACTTTACCTTTTTCAACTTTACCTTCATCTTTGCCTTTGCCGCCGCGAATACCGCCTTTCCGTTCGAAAAACCTTTCTCGTTAATTAACCGCTAAAAATAAATTAGCGGGGACATTTTGCCGTTTCTCCAATTTCTTGCTTATGTATTTTAAAATTATTTCGCGACCACTGATAATAGTGTGTGGCTTTCGCCACTGCCCAACGGGCAATTGCGAGTGAAACGAGTGAACAGCCCGCTTGGCGCATTAGTAATTTCGCGCATTTTAATTTTCTTTGCTTAATTCGTTGTGTGCATGTGTTCCATGATGACAAATAAGCCCCGTTTTCAGTTGTGCTGTACTGAAGTAAAAAATAGCATGCAAAATTAAAGTTTGCAGTCATTAAGGAAATATCGATTCTCAACGCCTTAACCCCACCTTTGGCTATTGTCACCACCTTTGGCTATTTACAAATGTAGTTGTAGTTGTACGTTGTAAAATATTTTTAGCTAGGTGCACATACGGTCTGCCATGCAGGAACACAATGACGATGAAGGATCATAAACTACCAAAATGTACAAAAAAACACGGGGCGAATAGCCTCGAAATCAATTTAAAACACATCAACAAGAAACTGTAGAAATGACAAAGTGTCGAAGGTAATTTATTTTTAACGGTTAATTTTTCGGTAAAGCTTTTTCGAAAGGCGTTTTTCAACTATCTAATGGCGCAATTGTGGAACTGGAACAGACTGCCCCAAGAACCATACAACCGCATTAACAATTCTGACTCTTTCCTGGATACGATTAAATGGACGGATTTAAAATGGACTAAGCTTTTCCTTCATCTTCATTTCGATCATTACTGTTTGCTGTTAAACTGTTGTCCAGATTTGCGATATTTTAGATGTAAGGTTTTCGCTAATGCGGTAGCCTTTTCTCTCATGTTAGTCTATGACCTCGTGCAGGACATCCCCGAT